TTCCTGCTGTCTGCTGGAAGTAAAGGCCCCAGGAGATGTTTCATACAGATTCCACAGAGTGCTTGGCCAGACTCAAAGGCCTTTGTGATGAGCAGACCTGAAGCTCTGTATGAATAAGAGCCCTGCAGTGGAGCAACAACCTCTGTTTCAAAATGGACACAGGTCTGGGATGCAGTGATCCCTGCAAATCAACCTGACATAAATTAGCCCTGTCAGTTTTCACACTGATCCGATAAAAACCAAGAAATGACCCATGAGTTCTCTGAAATACAATTGCACTGGATAAAGAAGATACTACCGGGCTTATTTAGAGTGCTGGCTGGTCTTGCTGTTCCTCAAGAGAGCACGCGGCATACGATAAACTGCAGGCAGACCTGTTCAGGCAGTTACAGTTAACAGGAGGACTCTGCAACCTACAGTCGCAGGCTGAAAGGAGCCACCTGGGCCTCTGACGTGAATTTTGGAAGTCTGAATTTTAAACAGATGCCCTCAAGAAGGCCTCAGTGTGGCCAGAGGAGTGAACTCTCACGCTGTGCAGAGGGCAGTGTGGTACACAGGGCCTCTCACTGCGAATTCTAGCCTCAGTTACTTCTAACTCCATCCACATGCAGCGCAACATGGACAACTCCCTTCCTCCAAATTTTAATTACACACCTATGAAATAATGAAAACAGAAGCTGCTCAACTTTAAGACTGAATTAGTGAAGACCATTACTGCTGTTGACAGGTATTAGTTGTGCATGTTCAGTAACACTGAAGGATGCTGAGCTACTGAATGTGCATGCATGTGCTGTGTTTCACCTCATCCAGGAGCACTCCCTCTCCCCTTTCCCATGTGAAAACACACAACAGGAGGGACAAAGCAAATCTGCAGCTAATGTTTATATAGAGCTCAGCATGATTTTGTGAGGACAAGAAATAATTAAGAGGCTCATGTACACAGAAGCTTTTTCCCTCATATGGCTCCTGAAGCCCACAGAGACTTCAAGTGAAGGCTACTGCTGCAAGCAGCGTGATCCAACAGACACCCTACTGCCCAAAATAGCTATTTTTCTCTTATGATCGTGCAGTCTGTGCCTGCTTAACAGGCTGGCAGCCAATCCAGAAATTTATTTTAAGGGAACTGGTATTTGGAAAGAAAATTATAGACAAACCTGAGAAGATGCTGAAGAACAGCGATGGCATCGGGCTCTTGCAAGCACGCTACGTTAACGTCAGTTTGCTGCTCGCTCCCATGCATCTGTTCTAAACTAAAATGTAAGAATGGAAAACAAACATAGGATGGAAAACTCGTTAGCAAAACTGGACATAAAAAAGAGTAATTCGTGTTTTTAAGAAAAAAGGATGGGCATCTTCTGCTCAAGCGGAAAGGAACATTGAGACAGAGCAGCTGACTTCAACCCAACATTAAAAAATGGAAATTTGTGCTAGCCATCTGGTATCAACAGGATTAGAGATACGCATGGACAACAGGCCCAGAAGGTGACGGTAAAAGGACAAGGAGGCACTCAGTACCCTGGTAATGGTGCCCCAGTGCCAGCAACAGCGATATGATAAGGGAGTACAAGAGGAAGAGACAACACAAAGGGATCAGGCTTGCACGCTTGCCCTGAACGGCATCTCCCGTTACCACTGCCTCAGACACAACACCAGGCTGGTACAGGCCTTTGCCCTGGTCCAGGAAGGTATCTTATGTGCTTTTATGAAAACACATGACCATGTCTGCATTAAAGATGCTCTGACAGATCACTATAATAGACAAAACTGTTCAAACTGGACTCTTCTGAAATTCTTTTAATAAGTAAACATGGCAGGTGTTTGACCTGAGTCAACACAAAGGGGTCTGCTGTTAACCTTGGTTACCAACAGTGGGAAGTGACAGACTGTTAAGACATCACAAGCTACAGTGGCAGTCAAAACCATCCAAGTTCTGTGACTTGGTGTATTTTTTAAGTATGGACATTCTGTTTTTTACATCAGTTTCCTTAATGCTAGGGCCACCACTCTTCATCACTGACACTAACACCACAGAAAGCCTGTTCCTAGAATGGAGAAAGCACATGGACAGTTAGCTCAGCCCTGTGGAACCGAGGTGGAAATTTCATTTTAATCAGCACACACTTCTGGGAAGGCTCAGAGATTCCTATCATAAACTCACACCTCTGCTGAAGTGAACACATGTCATATTTAGGGAGCGAGTTAACACTACTACAAAGCCGTAAGTTAACGAGGTTACAATATGTGTCAAACTGTACTTCTGCGTACAAACACGCCTCTTACCTATGGAGTCTGGCATGGGTGTATTGTAAAAACACGCCTGTATCTCCACGACTCTGAAGAGCTCGATCCCAGCTGAACTGATAATCGGATGACAGAAGGCCCCGGAAATCCTGGGACAATAAATCAGCATCACTTGGATATGGCTCTCCATCTCAATTCTTAACTTTTCACAGAAGATGCAAATGCCTCGGGAGGCAGATCAGACTCACCTGAATTATTAGTGCTGCCAGACCAACTTTTTCTGCTGTCTCCATAGGGTCTTCTGTCTCTTTGGTTGCTGAAGAGAAACAGAGAGAAAGAAATCCCAAGTCCACAGCAGCACAACAACTCCATTGCTCAGACTTGGAGATGCCAATGAAACAGCATCTTCTAAAACAGTGCACTAGCAATATGGAGATTGTCAGGATGCATACAGCAAGAAGTCCAGGATAGAAATCTTTCTTAAAAGCTGTTTCAGGTGGGCTTTCTCCCATATGCCTTAGTACGTGTAATGCAGATTTCAAGGTCAGGAGGTTCATTACAACAGGCTAGGCAGAGCACGCTGTCCTCCTTCCTGTCTCGCAGGGAAGTTCACAGGGCCAAGCCGGTGCTGCCAGTTCATCAGTGGAACAGCAAACCTGCCCACATAAACAGCACTTTGGATGCTGGATCTTCTGGGAAATCAGTTCCTTGTGTTTGGAGCCGCAACCTTGCCTGGTGAAAAGGTGATGCTTTTGACATACATAATACTTTATATTTTTAAACTCAGATCACAGTGCACTCTGCCAGGGTCTACTCGTCCTGTTTGTCTCTACTGGAGAGGAAGGAGAATTCGTATCGTCTTTTACAAGGCAAATCTCTTCCACTTTAGCAAGGGTCAAGTGTATTTCTTACTGTAGTATATGTAATCTATTAAATTAGCAGAGTTCACCTTATGATTTCCTGTCCCAGCTGATTTCCCACTAACAGCAGAATATGGAGAATTGTTGTTCTCATAATGCACCACGTAAACTGTATTGCAAAACTATTTAGGTTTTAGTGCCCTGAAATGTCAGTCTTGTGCTTTGCCAGGTCAGCAAAACCAACTGAGACAACTCTGAGTAGTTCACACTCCTCAAACCTTTGCTGTTTACAAAATTCATAAAGGACTAAGCTTGAAAAGTGTGGGGATAGTTCATAGCCCTGAGAAGTCTCAGACTCGCTATTCATTCACAAGGACAAATATATTCAATTAAATTATTACATTTCCTAACTCAGATTTGTTTCAAAACAGAACAGCTGCCTCAGAATTCAGGCTTTTGTTCAGATGCTTGATGAGGCACAGACAAAGCTATTTAAGAGAGAGCAAAGCAGCAAAGGAAATAATACACATTACAGTGAGGATTTACGTGAACTGCAGGGTTCACTGAGATAAGCAGAAGGAAAAAGAATGCAAATAATGGAAACACAAATAGCAGAAGAACTGTGTACTGTTAACAGCAAAGAGTCTGCACAAAGGTATTTCACTAACCAGCTCCACACAAGCATGATTTTTAACGCTAGCATTGGCTGTCAGATGCCCAAAATCTTTTCAATGACAATGAGGTATTTTGATGCCACACAGAGGTTTGTAAGAGCTTTCATTGTATATCCAAACACTTTTCAAACATCGAACACATTGCTGTGAGACAGGGATTTAAGATTTCTAATTTAAGAGAGGGGAAGTAAGGCAGGAATTCAAACATAAGGGGTAAAATTTCTACAAGCACAGGTAGGCTTTAGGATGTAATGGATAAGCTTCGGGAATGCTGCAGTGCCACCTGAACACGTCACTTCCTTTAGTTGTTTTGTGAAACAAAACATGGGTCTGTACCTCTGCTGTGTCAGTCCAGGGCGGCATTAAAAGAAGTTTGCTTTATACTCAGCTATGATAGGAACTTTTAACCCAAAGCTCCATTCCTCTCCACAGTAAAACTAGTTTGAATTGAGGGAAACCCCATTCTGCCTGCCCCTTCTTCTCCTTTCTGGATTAAAAAGGCTGAGGACATAGAGGAAAACGCACACTACTTAACCTGTTTATTGGTTCAGATCAGCACCTGACTCCAGAAAGCACAAGAGGGGGCAGCATTTCATTGGGAACTGCCTGAATCTTTCCTGTGTCAGGAGGAAATGGATCCAGAGCTCCAGGCAAACACCCCCTTCAGCAGATTCTGCTGCAGCGCAGGGACCTCCCGGGGACCCTGGAAGCAGCGGTGAGGCTGGGAGGGTGACAGGGCAGCAGCTGCAGACAAGACACAGTCAGTCCTGCCAGAGAAAACTGCCAGAGCCACGAAGCCTTTGGATGAAATCTGTTTCCTGAACTGCAGCCCCAGCCGCACTATTGACTGGTTTGCCTCTCCAGAAAAAAGCAACTGTTGTCCCCCAAAGGCAGGTACTTCCTTCCCAGTGCAAAAGTGCGATAAAATAATTTCACTGAATGTTAAAATCTGCAAATCTGTAACTTAGGGAAGTTCACAGAGTTGCAAAGGATTATTTTAACATCGTTTATGTTGTGGGAGATACAAAAAGTGCACAGATCAGGGCATATCACTGCGATCAACACGTTTCTGATCAACACAGAACATCAAAAGAACTTAGTAAGACCTGAAATAGCTAACTTTTTGCGGAAGCCATGTTTTGTAACATCCTCGAGCGAACTTCATTTAAAACATCTTCCAGGAAAATTACTTCTCCTCTCCGAGTCTTCATCCCTTGAACCAGACCAAAAGACACATGCTGGCACCTGTGTTGAAAAGCAGCAGGACCTGAAATTACATTTTAATCAAGAGAGATGTCTGCAGTGTTTGTTCAGAGCTGGATTCTTACCAGGAAACGGCAACAACAGCTGAATAAATAGCGCTCCAACGTGGGAAGCTTGGTGATACAATCACCAACTCTCATTTCAGCAACGAAAGCTCTGTACTTATTATATAATGGGAAAATTATGATAACCTGGTCATCTGGGTGCTCTTGGGAACCTCTCTGGCTACGAGCTTTAGTACAGAGGAGTCAATGCAATAAATTGAGGAGAGGCAGGATGTAGACAGCTCAAATTACTGTGGCAACACAGATCTGTTAATAGCATTAGAAAGGGAGTCATAATAATTCTATTGTGGCCACATTAAACTAAAAATGAAATTAATCATTGCTAATAATAAAGCATTCATTGCTTCTGCTCACAATAATCCCAAGCATTACTCTGGATCCACGACCTAAGGTAATTCCAGTGCAACTGTAAGCACTGTGAAAGGAGGCAGTCTAATATGCCTGAAGGCTAAAATCCTATATTTAACCACGAAAGGCATGCAGTCTGTCAGAGAGGGATATGATTTAGTCTGCAGATCCATTGCTGACCTTTGTTCAGACTGCTAACAAGATTGGTGCTTACAGTGAGTAACAGCAGGGATATATTTCCCTGCAACAGATATTTCAAGCCTGAAGCGTGATTCAAGCTCAGATTCAGATCTCTGCTAAAATACCACACTTCAGGAAGTAACGGTTTAATGTGTGATCACACAATATCCCAGAAGCCACGGCACAAAGTCTCTGAAGGATGGCTTCCCTTTTTCCCATTTTTACATCAAGCAGCTATGAAAGATCTGTTAAACGAGAGACAGGGCTGGTGTTCACCTCCTGAACACACGGCGATGTCTCTCTTCACAAACAAAGCAGAGCAGCAGGAGCGGACGTACAGAGTGAACAGGCTGGTGCCGAGGACCTGAGGCCCACATTGCACACAATTCTGAGGGTTTTGTTTTCTTATTTTTATCTCCTTATTGAACTAAGCATTAGTTGGGTCCCACAGGCCAAATGTGTGCTTGCACTCTGGAGCTCAGCAGTTGCACTCCAGCAGCACACCTTTTAGCTCAGCTTCATCCAAAATGCCTACGTGATGTGCTGTGGCGTGGTGGTGGGTGGACACAACCAGGAGATTCTCTCCAAAACAGCACTCCACTGAAATTCTAACGTACAAATTACCCCTTCTTAAAAAAATTAATAAAAATTATTAAGATTCATGAATACTTACCTTTCTGCCCAGTCATAACCCATAAGCTTCAGTATTTGGAACAAATGTTGAAAGTGATGCCTTTGACCTTTATCTGTCTAAGGAACAGAATTGGTGCACATCAGAAAACGCTCCAAGTCTGATAAGGATTAACTTTTAACACACACCACCACAGCTACTGTGCCAGAATTAAGACCTATGAAGACAGGCAAGTCTTGAAAAATGCAACAGCTGGAACCCATGGCAATGGGATTTTGCATCTTGTCATAAAAAGTGATCTGCCTTTCCAAAAATGATTATTCCTAGGTCATGAAGGCAAAGCCATGAACTGAAATGAAACCTTGGTGCTCTAGTTTCACCTAATCTGTGAGCTGCCCACCAAACACCCACATTTTCACTTCACAGCCTTGCTGCTCGTTATATTCCTATGGTTTACATCACGAAGCTTTAAGGTTTTAACTTCTTCAAGATCTGTCTCCAGAACCCAGTACTTTTTTTTGTCTTCAGCGTGATTTGTGGAGCTTTACAGCATAAGTCAGGTGCATAATTTTTAAAAAAATAAAGTGGTCACATTTTCTGTATGTGTTTCTAGCCCCAGTTATTGCTACAAAGTTCACTTTCCTACCCAGTTGCTTTGACTACATCACCCAAAGACTCCTTTATCCCTCCTTAAAAACCACCGCATTGATGACCAAATAACCACTATTTTCTACTTGCTTGGTGCTCCAGGGCACAGTGAGCAGTGAGTGCAGTGCTTATCAGCGTTTTCTCGGCTCTACCACTGCACCAAGCCTCAGGCCCCATCTCCTTTTTCACAACTCCTCCTGTGCAGATGCATGAGCAAGGCTTGGGAATGAAGAGCAGTGGTCAGCACTTCAAGCAAGCCCTTCCAAGCCCTTTTCCACGCACCTTACACATGAGAGAAACTCTGTACCTGTAACAAAGTCAGCTCTCTCTCACTAAAAGAGCCCACAGTAAACTGTACAAAGTTTAGATGAAGGCCAGCTCACTGCACGGGCCAGTGCTGCCTCGCAGTTTCCTCTGCTCCCCTCCAGGTCTGAATTAATTTCTATTCTCCTGCTTTATAAGGGATTGCAAATTCCACGACACAAACTGGTTATGTTTGGTGTCTACAGCAGCATCTCCCCCACCACCTTGACCATGATCACAGCATTTAAAGCCTCTTTGGAGGACTGCACTTTTTTGTGAGCAGATATTGCAACAAATCAAGACAATACTGACAAAAAAAGACTCCAGTCCTTCTAAGACTTAATTGCTCCTTTGTGACTGACTACAGAGCAGAATTTTCAGCTAAAATTAAATGAAAAGCCAACTTAAGTTTGTAATTACTTGTCTTGACAGAAGTACACAGAGGAATATTTAAAAACATTAACAAAAATAATATAATAATCTGATAGTCTTTTAAAATAAGTCTTTACACTACTATGGAAATAAGAACACGAAAAGAGAGGCCAAGATAAGAATACCTATCAGGCAGTACAAGCTGAACCCAGGTTTCAGCTGGACACCTTAAAACCAAGCATCAAATGCTGTGGTTTTTGCTATGCGCTGTGATACTGCACGAAGCAGAGCAATGAGTGTTTATTATGCTTGAGCAGTTCACTTAATTACAACTGCATGAGAACCAAGCTTATTAAGAAGGATGGAAACAAACAGTAGGAATACCACACAACTTCATCTCTGCCTAAAAGTAATACTCTAAACACGGATGTGCAAGTACGTTTAAAAAAGATGAACCTGCAGACACTGCCATTTCACAGAACCACTTTTTTCTATAGCTTCATAGCATGGCAAAATGCTCAAAAAAGATTCATATTACAAAGAATGGCTTTTTTTTCCTTACAGGCCCCAAAATTATACATGTCCAAATGTAGCCTAAGTGGTCAGCTTTAAGAGAGAAGTTTGCAGTCTGACAGTGTGGATTATATTTAATTCTTCACACATAAAAGTGTTTTCAACTCCTATTTTAAATGCAGCATTAAACAGAGTCTTAGCACCTCTTCAACAATATGTCACACATTTTGAAATGTTCTGAATATTTTGCTCGTATCACTGCATTTTAAGGAAATAAGTAGGATCTTTTAAAAATATAAATTGGTGAATGCAGTGATTTACAGCATTACAACTAAGAAACCACCTAATCTTCTTTTAAACAAGTTGATCTGATAGATAGTCTTACAGAATGACACTCAGGAACCTCTAAATCATTTTCCTTAACAAGATCAGGATTCTGAAATACATTTGTATCTAATAATTAAAGACTAAAATCATTGGTGTTCTTCCTTAAGCCCATGAAGCCCTCCTGCCTCTGGCAGCACTGAGTGAAGTCCTAACCCATTACAAATCACTGCCACAACACAGCAGCAAAACCCCGCAAGGCTGGCAGTTTTCTCATCAGGTTGTCTGTCCCACAGAGCCTTAACAGCTTATGTTGTCACCCTCTCATTTTGTGACCCACTTTCTCAGACCCCAGAAGGTCTTCTCCCTTGGTAAAACAAACACAAGTAAATCCCTACCCACACGAACCAGGCAGGAAGCTTCCTTAATTCCCAAGGCACTGCACTTTCATGGCCACGCTGCTCTTCAATGTCATTGAATCTGCTATGGTCCAGTCAGCAGAGGCAAAATAACTCCCACCAAAACCTAACTCTTCCCCCAGAAAAACCATGACAAGAAGATCCCTGTTCTATGACCACTGTGGAGAATGGCAAGCTACTGGAAACTTCCTCAAGACTGAAAATAAAAGGAGGAATGTGCCTTAACTAAAAGTTACAACACCTGGGTATTTAATTTTATCTTTATTGATCCCTTCCCCCTGCCCTGAACCGTGGTATCTGTAACATTATCTTGTCTTTTCAAAGAGCTGTGGCAGAGGAGACCTACAGACATTACCAAATGCATCACAAAGAACATGCCAGAAACCTGCAGATTTTTTCCATAGGTCGCTAATTGACTTCTCATAATGAAACACAGCTTTCAAATGTGGGGGGTTTTTTTCCTAAATCTGGGGGGTAGGGAATTAAAAGCATCATGTGGTATGTTCACGAGGATACTAAAGCAAAAAGTTTCACACAGGTGAGGAGGTGATACTGCTGGAATTGTTAAAAAGCAAAATAATCAATCCAAGGAATATAAAAAGATTCCCTGTCTACAACCGCTTAGTCCAGATTGACTGAGCAGTACTTTATGTGCAGCCTCTACATAATGAACCCAAGGCACTGTTCAATGCCACAAAAATTTACATTTCAGATATCAAGACTTCAGCATAGACTTAGATTAAATTTAGTATATTAATTTCTAAATTAACATTTTACAACCTCTTATAACACTGACAACTTTTTCTGACTTGTTTAAATATTAATTACAACATTTATACGGAAAATACAATGTCAAATGAGTAAAAGTTCCTTTAAAACTAATTGCAATGAATTTTTAAAACACAGGGCTGATTTTTCAACCATTCTGTGGGTCATGAACTGAAACAGAACCAGAAAACTCTGCCACATTGAGGCACAGCTGCTGGGGAGGAAGGGCATCTATTTTACTGCCAAAAATACCATGTGCCAAAGGCATACGGGGAGCAAGAGGCCCCCTGGATTATTGCTGAGAGTCAGGCTCACAAGTGTGTGGTGAATCTAGAATGACTTACCACGTAAATCATAGTATCCCAGCTATACTTATTCATCCGGTCTATAGCAGCAGCAAGATCTCTGGAAGAGATAATGAGAAACTATTTGGACTCTTACTCAAACATTCCTCATTATTTGCCTCTTGGCAAAATAATCTGCTCTCATGGAGGGAGGGAAGAGGACTGCCAGATTAGAGGGATCATGTATGCCTTGCACAAAAGAGAGGACATTTATACTTTGTTCACAACATGTGTCTGAAATGTTCTTTTTTTTTAAAAAAACACCAGCTATGAAAATGACTAAGGAAACAGTTCTTATGCAGGGTAAGTCTGGTCTCTGTCTGCCTACTGGGACAATCAAATCAACTGGGAGACTTGAGAGGAACAGCCCTCTCCTGGAAAACTAACTCAGTGCTCAGATGATAGGATAAAAAGCTCCCCTTCACACACACAAAGTGGTACAGAGAAACAGCCTGCTCGAGCCCTCCCAGGGCTGTCACAAGTGAGCCAGTAGCCCTATGTCCCCATTTGAAACCCACCTCAGGGGTCACCAGGAGCAGCTCACTGCCTAAGTGACATGGGACGCATGGGATGCAAGGGAAAAGCATTTTGCAATTGCACAAGGCAATGGGCTGCTTAGGGGAGGAGCCAAAGATGGGAAAAGAGAGGGAGAAGATGCTGAAAGGGACCGATGGCCTGGGAACTGATTGCTGGTTAGTATGGCTGGCTGGTTGTGCCCAGTGGGGCTATGGGCCTCAGGGGCTTGTGCACCCAGGTGCCACAAGTGGGGACACCTGGAGATCCAGGGGACAGCTAATGGGCAGACTGAGTGCTGAAGCTCAGCTATGGGAAGACTCCACATGGTGCATCCATACTCTGTACACATAATACCTACGTATATTACTTATGTAGATAATAGAAACCATATACATACATGCACATACAGATATACACACACACATACTTATATTTCTTCATACTATTAGACCTACACCCTGATCAGCCAGAGGGGAATAAAATGAGGCCATTTGTGCCGTCTTGAGTGCTGAGTGCTCTCGTCTGTGTTGCCCTATTTGGTTGGCTGTGTGTACTGAAGTGTATGTGTATTTGTGTGCCTACTGGGAACAGGCGCTCAGCCTACAACTGGTTGGATCTGCGGGCACAGAGCCGTGCCTCTGCCTGGCTACAGGATCCAGCAGCTCCCTAATGTACAGGATTTACTGCAGCACCTCTCTAATATCCTCATCCTGAAAAGCTGTACAGAGTTTACCCTGAGGGCTAGACATCTGATTTATTTACATTACTGGCACAAAGAAACTATTAAGCCTTCCATATTAAAATACCCAAGAGGAATTTTAGGATACTGAGAAGGCAGGAAAATAGTGATAAAGTTGATGGTACAGTGCCAGTGGACCACTGAGTCAATGAAGACGTGGCTGAACAAATATTTTCTTCTGTATCACACTGTCAATAAACATTTTAAGCAAAGGTTTTTCTAAAACCTTCATTTTTTTGCAAGTGTTTATTAGATTAAGAGATCCCAGCTTTGTTCTCAAAGTCAGTAGCTAGGGAAAGTCTTATGATTTATGGACAGAGGAGACTTATTAACAGACCGCTGAAGGGGAGGAAAACTGTTTAAAAGCAGCTGTTTTTCCTGAGCCATTTTTATCCCATCATAATTACACTGCTAGGTCCAGTTATGATTACTCACTCATCAAGGTGCTCCATCCCAGAAATAAAAAGCTTCAAAGTCTGTACTACAGTATGTGCTCACATACAAAAGTTTACTGGCAAAATTAACAGCAATTAACACAGATGGGCTTACTTGCCTCGTTATGTAAAGAGATGTCCTATCACTGCGCACAAGTGTGGCAAACGATGAGAGGTCTTTCTTTTCTGACAGATCCACGATTCCCGTCCCTTTGCTGTAAGTTGAGAGAAAACACTGGAGTAACTGCAAGCCAGATGTAACATACAGGTGAGTTCAGGCAAGACAGGTCAGAACCAAAAGGTGGGCCTCTTGCCAAGGAACCCCCCTCACTCCAGACAATCTCATCCTTCTCTTTGAATGACTGTCTCGTTTAAGTCTCTTTGAAGACAGTTCCTCCAAGTTTGTTGTCACCACTGCTGATGCCAGAGAGCTCCGTGCCCACACTCTGGTACATTTCATGACTGCAGCTGCCGCTCCAGTTCAGCCAGGCAGCACATCAAGGCAAGGATCTCATTTAACTCCGCTCGTTAAATGGCACATGCAGCTACCAAAGTAATTAACAGCCTAAAAGGCCATTAGGAATTGAACGCTGTCATTGTACCTCATTTGTCATGGCCAGGCTTCTGTGCTAGCTACAAGAAAGGGCAAACTTAATTTTTAGCTGCAATTGCAGAAATCCTGTTGGTCTCCTACTAGAACAGCTACCAAAAACATCTAAAGAAAACTCTTCCATTCATCACTTCTCATTTGAAATGCAACTGAGATGTTACGTAAACTACAGCAACAGACCGAATAATGAGTTCATACTCTGTTTTCTGAAGGAGCCCTTTATCCTCCAGCATCTTCAGAACTTCCTGGGACTTCTCTCGGTAAAATGATTCTCCAGAATATTCATCAAAGTGCACCCCTAGACGCTGAAAAGTTCCAAGAACATGAAAAAAGGGAAACATTGTTAGATTGGGGCTAATCATTTCCTCCAGTTAAGTCAGATGACAGGTCTGTGTCACAGGTCAGACAGCAAGCAAACGTTTTGGTTTTTTTCCCAGGAAATTACACTTCATTGCTAAAAGGAAAGGATGTTTGGATTTTGATTTAATTATTTCTGTATTAGAATTAATCTCTCTGAGTTCAATGTTGGATATAAAGTTCATGAGAAATTAGGAGTAAACTGGATAGAGCAATTAGTACAAAAATTCTGACGTAGCTCTCTAACTTGCTGTGCTGGAGGCAAAACCAGTGGATTGCACAGAAGTTACTTGGACACGAAACCAATCCCATTTTAAAAGGATGCTAAAAGAAATAATAATTTTAAAAAAACAACCCAGGAGCTGCTCACAAACATCGCTGAGCACACAGAAACCACCATTAGTAGGAAGGCTGAGGGTACACCTAGGAGAGATAGGGTGACCTTAAGTGTCAAAACCGGCTGAAATGTAACAGTACAAAAGACAAGATTTTTAACTGAGGTCAACAAAGCTGTGAGTCCATCAGCTGGATACTTACTAGTTTGAAAAGGATTTGGGAGAGGAAGATCTAGATGTCATAATGCGATCAATGATGAGTGACCATCATGATGCAGCTGCACACACAGCCCAGTACCCGCTCACCCTAACAGGTCAGCTTTCAGATCTCACTCAGGAGATCTTAACTTAGGGTATGAATCCAGGGACGTGTTTCAGGGAAGAAATTAAAGCACGGCCAGGTTATCTGGATTACTGTGGAAAGTGCAGGCCACTTCTCTTTTAACTCTGGAAGCAAGGATGGAAGATGACATGACCAATTTCTGCAAATACATCGAGAGGAAGGAGATGGCCAAGCGCAAGTTTGAGTAAAGAATACTACTAGAAGAAGAAAGTGGTATAAAACAAGTCACAAATTCTTTGGAGCTATGAGTTAGAAAAAAATGTCTAAGCCCATCGAAACTGGGCACCCACTGCAGAACTTCATTGCAAGAATGTGGGAAAGAAAAACACGACCTGGTTTTCAGATGGGCTCAGTAGGTTCTTGAGTGAGATTACACAGTATTCATACTAAGAGACTGAATTCAGTGACAGAAGGTGCATCTCACTCCTGTTTTCCACATTCATATTATTCATTTTGCTGTCAGTGGCACAAGCATCTCCCACAAAACAGTGGATACCTTCTTGAGATCACAGTGTGCAACAGATGGCCGTGTATTAGCGCACTTAACCTGCAGGTAACTGATGCACCGATCACTCCTGTAAATTCCTGCTGCTATAATTGCTTACACTCAATTTAAAATGCAACATACACAGTTCCACATTATAACATTAGATCAGAAATGTGAAAACAGGGTTATCTCCTAATAAAATTTATTACATGGAAACTATTAAATGTAGCAGGTTGTTGCTGGCTTCAAAGACCAAGCAAAACTGAACATTTATCCAATGCTGATTTGTTTTGCTGCTTAGTGCCATACTGCGAGCTTCAGGGCTCCTGAGAAGGGAGAATTAGTCTGAGGGCCAATTACATGCACTCCATTAAATAAAACCTATCTACGTTGTCAGCAACTACAGAGGCAATCTGCTTGGATGCTAAATCAACGACCATGCTTTTGCCAAGCAGAATGGGGCATAACCTGGCATACTGAGAAACACCTTCCCTACAACACTGTGAAGTTTACAGGAAAGGCAATGAATTGACAACATTACAGCAGCCTCTGTTCCTAAGTCGGTTCTCGCTGCTTGGCAGCCTCTTGGAGGAAAAGGTGCTGTGCGCTGTCAATGAGAGTGAGGGAGCAAGAGATGAAGAGAGACCATTTTACCAACAACAAAGAAAAAGTGGGTAATTTGTACCTTATAAATTCGGATGTATTCCTCAATACTGAAGTCTCTAAATTGTTTCCAAAGTGACAGTGTCTGCTCATCATGTTCCTCCAGTTTCCTAAAGAACTCCTTAGCCAGCTTTTTTGTGTTTTCATCTTCTGCTGTTTTGTTGATCTGCACGTACACCTAAAATATAATGGCACTGAAAATGCTGAAGAAGTATAATTCTCTACTGCAATAAAAATAAGCAAAGTTCTACAGAACAATACAAATACATTTAAAGATGTCATTTGTAACATGAAAATGTTAAAGCTGTGTTAAAGGAATACAGTTCCTATCTAAAGGATGAATGAGCAGTCCAAACTCCAATAGGGAAATGTGCAGCTTATCTTGAACAAGACTAATGCCATAATTTCTTACTGCTGTCACTATTGTCCTCTTCATAACCTTAAAACAACTGCGGCAGCAGAATACGGAAGAACTCATTTATGCATGAAGGGGAAGCCATCACAGACTTTTAAACCAGTGACTTTTCTTCAGAGGACCACAAAGTTGGTACTTTCAACAACTGCATTGCTTAAAAAGATGACGACAGTTGAAACAGCAAAATCCTAGATAGACTGGATGTTTTACAAGCTAAAAACACCCCTCAGCTCAGATCCAATACCTATGTACCTATGTACAACAGATCTGGCTCTCCTGCTCATTAATATATTCCTTTATATCTAAAGGCCAAGTATTTGCCCGATGCCTTCCTTTCCATATCTAGCATTTTGATAGCCCATGGATAAGTTTTTAAAAAGTTGAAGTATTACCTAAAAATAATTAAATTAACTAGTGATTACACTAGTTCTGTTTATCATATAATCATACAATGTGTTGGGTTGGAAGGGACTTTTAAAGCTCATCCAGTCCAACCCCTGCAGTGAGCAGGGACAATGTTACCAGATCAGGTTGCTCAGAGCCCCATCAAGCCTGACCTTGAAGATCTCCAGGGATGGGGCCTCCACCACCTCTCTGGGCAACCTGTTCCAGTGATCTACCATCCCCATACTGAAGAACCTTTTCCTAATATCCAACCTAAATCTGCCCTTTTCTAGTTTGAAACCATTATCCCTCATCCTATCCCTACATGCCCTAGTGAACAGCTCTTCCCCAGATTTCTTATAGGCACCTTCCAGGTATTTAGACTCAGAGAGTTCAATGCTGTTGAAATCTTTGGAAGAGTTTTGATCCTCAAATCACTGCAACTTTGTTAAAAATAAATAATTAGAAAAACTTCACTTCTGCAATGTTCAGACAATGTTTGCCAACAATACCTTGCTCAAATGGGTTCCATCTATTAAAAAAAAAAGCTTCCACAGCAAAACTTCTGAACTTCCTTGCTTTTATGTCCCGAGATTTTTAGCGATTTTAAAAGGCAGTACTGCTGACGAGCCTCAAGGATTAATGTTTGCTTAGTTCTGCCATGAAAAAGTAATTAAAAGCAGAGGGAAAATTCAACCCTTTCCAAGAACAGTGCTTCCCCTCCCCATCAGTAGCTTCACACTCTACCCCTGCCCCGCCTCCAATCTTTGATGCTATAAAGCAAAACTAATGCAAAAGGTACATTTGCATCTGACTCTTGACCAAAACGGAAGGTGTAAAGATGTTTGGAAAGGTACATTTGTCTATACATTTATTTATATAGAAACTGTGCTATGGAAACTTTCTTTTTAAACAAACTAAAGGAAAGATTAGTTTCACATAACAGCAGAAAAAACACCACTTTGAAACACAGCTCAGCTTTTGATATAAAAGAGGAATACAGCTTAACAAACAGTTAAAAATCAGGAATATCTGAGAAACTAATTTGGTCTCAAACCACTACTGTTTTAGAACCTTTAGCAGCTTGACTGAATACTGCTCTCTACAATTAAAGGTATTTTTTTAAGGTCAAAAAGCCCACATGCTGCTGCAATGGATGGTACTTTAAAGTTTTAGTGCAAAATTCAAGTATTCAACATTTAAATCCCAAGAACAGACTGAAATGATAAATAAAAATTAAATAATATGCAGCAATGCACAACCACAAGAACACAACTACTTCTTGTCATCTCTTTAAATCAGTCCTGCAGTTCTAAAACATCCCCATGCTGAGAATCTAAAGATCAATTTTATTGAGCGGGTCTCAAGGATGAGGAAACAAGTGTAAGTCACGTATCATGTGTGTGTTACACCCAGTACAGCTGTCAGCCAGAGACCACGTACAAGCACCAAAAGGCTGACAAAAACCTTTTTTGCTCATTGCACTGTATGGAGCAGGAGGTGGTGAAGAGGAAGATATAAATACTAACTCCGATGATATTAGGCATATTTGGATGGAGCAAAGCAACAATCAAAAGTATACTAGTGCTGGAAAAACAAGGCTTGTTAAACAACCTCAGTCTTTGTTGCTAACCTGGACAGGCCACAGAGTCAGTTTTGTCCCTGACACACAGAAATGCAATCTACAGCACTTGCACCATGCTGGTGGGCATCGTGAGCAACCCAGAGGGCAATCTCCTGCAATGAAACCAAAGTCTTCTCTACTGCTGAAAGGCACTTCCTGAAAGCCCACAGCAGAAACTGCACCTTGCAATGCTCCTGGTGCTTTCACACTGATGGAAGAAAGAAGAGTATTCTGCAGAGCCAGAGCAGTATTCGGGAAAGTGACGGTCACTGCTCCTTACCCATGCACACTAAGGCACACTAAGGCTTGTATTAGATACAAAACACTTTATAGATCCTTTTCCCCAGCCACAGTGAATTGTGTATGGCGCAATGGAAATTAAATATTACTTGTTCTAAAAACACTAGCAACAAAAGGATTTTTACACCATACATGCCACTTCTTTTCACAACTTTGGTAACCCACATACTACAGTATCAGATGCGAGACCCCATTTCCACTGCAGGTAACACAGTGAGCTCAGTGGTCACCTATGCTCAGTTGGAAGAGTTGATATTGGTCAGGGTGGCTGTGGTGGTAGCAGCAACCAATACAACCTAAGTATCTATATGATTACCTCCCTTATCACAGAATCACAGGATATCAGGAGTTGGAAGGGACCTCAAAAGCTCATCCAGTCCAACCCCCCTGCCAGAGCAGGATCACCCAGACCAGGTCACACAGGAACGCGTCCAGGCGGGTTTTGAATGTCTCCAGAGAAGGAGACCCCACAACCTCTCTGGGCAGCCTGTTCAGGGCTCTGTTACCTTTACAGTAAAAAAGTTTTTCCTCGTATTCAG